TCATAGTATCATAGTGTGTTATATAACTGCGAAAAATCTAGGAATTCATGAGGTTTCATAAAAGCCTATCGGTGTGTTTTATACGAGTGTGTTTCACGGGCTGCAGAATCACGATTCTATAAGGGTTTTGCAGCGGGTTTCATGGGGTTTGGGCCATACAAACAAGTAGGTTGTGGTATCGTAAAGTATGGTTGCGGAAAGATGCATGGCTTCTTATTGTGCGGGGTGTCCAATACTTAACTCACATGTGCAAGGCATGGGGTCTAGGACTATTAAGATCTAGGGTTTAGGCTTTGGGGCCTTTATGCTTTAGGCTTCTCGGCGACGGCAGGTCCCAAGAGGACACGAGCCACACGTCGTTCGAGTGCGCAACATGTTCGAGGCCCTTGACATGCCGTCTGCGTTCATCGTTCGGAACCATGGTTGCTACAGATGATGTCCGGGAGTGTTCATCTTCTGTCCGGTGCTTAGTAGGGAATNNTCCATTCCCCCATTGCCTACTAAGCAGCAGACAGTCTTTGGTCCATGGGATCAGCTTGGCCCTGTCGGAGGCTCATCAGATTCCTGCTCGAAGTAGTGATTGATGTCGTCAGGTTCTTACGTTGGACAGCCTTCTTAGGCTCTTTTTGCGACTGAGCCCCCTCAAGACTGATCCTGAAAACCTAAACCCAATAACAACATTAAGAATGATAGTGATAACAATACTACGAAGCAGAACAGTAATGAATGTCACTGGTCCAATTCGTGTCCTCCTCGTAGGCCGCGAAGATTCGGGATTGCATGGGGTTTCAGGGGCCACGTGCTTGGTGCGGATCTATCTGACTCCTCTTATATAGAGGGTACGAAATTGAACAGTGTTTGCTGGACTCCTGTTCTACAGCGGCAAACTGTCGTCAACCTTTGAATCGAACGTAACCCCCGCCACAACCACAGGCTGTAGACCGCTGCAAATCTAACTCCTCAAGCCCCATACCCTGACACCCTACAAAACAAAGCCTCCGGATAGAACATCCAACACCAAAGAAGCGACACTGTGAACCCTGTCAAATTCGATAAGACCCAGTAAAACAACATGTTGAACGGCTTTATAGCAACCCCGCGAAACCCTCCCCAAACCCTAAAGCCTAAAATTGGGCCCCCTAACCCACAAACAGATCCCAAACGCCTGAACCCCAAACCCGCAGGAAACCCCAAACTTCCTAACCCACCGATACAACCCCTCAACTGAAGGAACCCTTAAACTCAATCTTTCAGGCAAGCAAAGTCCAAACGCCACACACGACAGAAGAAAAAGCATTCAAGAGCCGTACAGTGAACCTAGTGCAGAAGCCTTAATAATTAGAACAGGTT